ATATAAAGTAAATTCCGAATTGTCAATTGTTTTACGTTTTTAACAACACATTACTTAATTAAATTAAATATATATATATATATATATATATATATATATATATATATATATATATATATATATATATATATATATATATAATTTAACAAATATCTGTTTAAATTTCAATCAACATCGTTCTTGTTTTACGTAATAAATATACAATTAAGACATATATTTGGATTATTTCGCGAATCTACCAACATCCTATATTTCTTAAATTAGAAAATGACTTTCCATGTTCGTCCCTCAATAGTTTGAATGTTTTTGGTTTGATTTGATATTGTATCTTTGTAGACGTTTCTAATTTTACCCGTTTTACAACATGGTATACACAGTCTTGCAATTTTAATTAAATGCCGTATCGAGTTAAAACTTAGGTTTGGTAAGAAAATGAAGTAACACGTTTTACACCCAACTTTGCCTCCATATCCATATAGATATGTATCGTATAAAAAAATCTGACACTGTTAAGATGTGATGTCATTATTGACAATTCCTTCTGTGTGTTCACCATAATCTTTTCTAAGACACAAGGGCAGGTGAAGTAGAGTTTATCTGTTCATAGATGAAGGGATAGCGGGGTCAGTACTATGCCCAGCCGCTTTTGCTCTACCTAAAGTGAGTTTGGTACCCATCAGAGCTGGGGTGACGCATGGACATTCTACTGATTTTGAGCCTGGATTCGAACTTGAGACTTTCGCATTAGCATTCTATTTCATATGTATGTTATGTTTATTTAAAAGAAAATTAAAACACTTCTATATGTAAATGTAAATCATGAATATAATAAATGTGCGAAATGTAAATGATTGGAATATAGGGCAACCGGATAACTATATGGGAGATGAAGATTGCGCCGTCTACTGCAATGATGTCAACAAGTTGGGCGACACAAGTTGCTCAAATATGTATCCATATGTATGTGAAGTCATACCATCCTAAAGCGTATCCATATGTATGTGAAGTCATACCATCCTAAATTGTATATGTATATGAAGTCATACCATCCTAAAGTGTATCCATATGTATGTGAAGTATTACCATTCTATAGTGAATCCATATGAATGTGAAGTCATACCATTCTAAATTGTATATGTATGTGAAGTCATACCATCATAAAATGTATCCATATGTGTGTGAAGTCATACCATCCTAAAGTGTTTAAATATGTATTTGAAGTCATACCATCCTAAAATGTATCCATATGTATGTGAAGTCACACTATCCCAAAGTGTATAAATATGTATGTGAAGTCATAACATTCTAAAGTGTATCCATATGTATGTGAAGTCATACCATCCTAGATTATGTCAATATGTATGTGAAGTCTCACCATCTTAACGTGTATTAATATGCATGGGATGTCATACCATCCTAAATTGTATCAATATCTTCGTGAAGTAATACCATCCTAACATGTATTAATATGCCTGGGAAGTCATACCATCCTAAAGTTTATCAATATGTATATGAAATCATAACATTTAGAATCATGTGAATTCGGAAAAAAGTATGAAGATCTTACTGCTAAAGGTAATTTATTCATAAAACAAAAATTGAGATAACTGAGTTCATACTTTCAAATTATCAATTTAAGATTTTTTCATATTATTGTTTGAAACGGGCTTTAATAACTATCTCATCATCAAAATATGTAGACTAAGTAAATTCTAACAACAGAAGTTAAAATTGCTTGGATTGATTGTTATAAAAGTGCGACCTTAAACACTAAATTCTTCATATGTAGTTTAATTTTGTTTTCTATAAGGTTTAAATTTATTTGAGTATACAAAAAACCCACAATTTTTCATAATTTATAATTACCTATTTAAATATTCAGTACACTATATTACTCTTGCTTTTCTATAACAAGATGGCCTGATGATTGATAAAAAAATGTATCTTTTTTTTTATTTTCTGATATATTTTGCTTTTAATATAAGTTTTAAACTCGGTGTTTAAAACAAAGCAACAATTGGCTAATTGTTTCTTCAAATTAGATCTAGGTAATTATAATTAAACCATTCTAACACAAAAAAGCCATTTGGTTTCTCAAATAGGAAATGACCTTCTAAATAGACCGTAATACTAAAGGCAGATAAACCACTAGTAGCAGCAGTAATAATTATCAGTGACGCTCCGGAAAAATAAATTAATACTGGATAGTGAATTATTATTTCTCTATAGCTTTACGAAAGTACATCAGTATAAATGTGTCCATTAACATTTTTTGTGGGGGAATCCTCCATAGATATGCTAACAGTAGCCATCATAAAAAACATGAACATATTCGTAAGATTCCGAAATTTTATAAGGTCTAATTTTAAGTATCTATATATATAATTCTCTTCTGGGATCAGTTAGAAAACAAACTGCAAGCGCCTCCTTGCAGTCCCCTCTCTTTCTCTCTATCACTATCACTACCACCCCCACCCCACCCCAACATTGTCTGGTGAGCGGTGTTCACTCTAAATTTTTACAAAGCTAAATGTTTACAAATCGAAGAGCCGTACAGCCGGGTTTCTATTAGGGGCAGATAATTTACTTCGATTTTAAACTTACTGGAGGTAACTAAGAAATAACTAAGAGGAGGCTGCTTTCACGGGGGGGGGGGGGGGGGGGTGTAGGGTCGGGGTTAGGGGAAAGTGGGGGGGGGGGGGGGGTTAGTGTTTTAAAGCAAATATTTTCAGTGGCAGCATTGGTACTGTCGAATTTACAAATTATGAATTACTGAAAAGTAGAAAATAAAACAACTAAATAGCGGCGTATGATACGCTGCGGGTCGGCTCGTGAAATAATAATAATCTAACAAAATTTTAAGTTCAGGTCTTCACATTAATGTATATGGAATTCTTTTAAATATTTGTTCCTGTGAAAACACAAAATTTAACACCCCAAATATTTTTAAAAAGTCTTTTGTATACTAATTAAAAATCGGACTTGTTCCATACGATGCTTTTACTTTCACGGAAAGGACCATATCTCCATGTTAAAACGGTTTTTTGTATGATATGTTACAAAATATTGTAATGTTAGTTTAATTTTTTTTTAATGCTTGCATCTGTTCTAATCAAATTAGCTTTATTATAGTAATATTTTTTCAAGCACCGCTTTGTTTACAGTTCGATATTTTAAATGTACTAAAATAAAATTACAATAATGATTCATGTTATTAAATTATGTTTGTGTATATAAAGGATATGTATACATATACATATATATCTAAAATATTAAGACAATTGTCGAGTGCTTATGATGAAATTATTTAATTCAAATCAACATAAAATCAAATTAACATACCCAATACAGTGTATGTAACAAAATTCAAATATAGTTTAACATATCAATAACAATAGGTAAATGGAAGTGACATTTAAAACAATGCTTTTCTGTCAAATCATAAGCTATTGAAAATGTCTAAAATAAATAACTTCGTACTCTAACATGTTAATCGAATGAATCAAAAGAAAAACGTGATTATGATACGTCTTATGTGCAAAATATTAATGTTTACAGTAATTTGATAATTAATTAATTAATTAAACATTGGTGGTTGAACAATCAGGAGAACCACACTTAGGGCACACCTAATTTGTAGGTGAATTATGGAAATGACCAGCAAACTTTTAATCAGCTTGGGTTTTGGATAGGGTTAAAAGACTATGCATGATGAAATGACAACTATTGCAAGATAATATAAGGCCCGAAACTTTATTACAGTGTAATACGAGGTGGGATGATAAAACTAATTGAAAATCTAGGAAAATTAGTGTTCATGTTCAATACTAGTGCGTGTATAATTTCTATAATCTGTATTAAATTATATATAATCAGACACTTTTGCATAACACCCTATAAAAATTATGTTTATATTGTATGTAATTAGATTAGTTTAATTATTCAGGTATGTTGAATTAAGTCTTCATTGATAATTAATACTTCAATAACCGACACAACTATAAACTTATTTGGTAATGTAACATTTTCAAAATTTCTAGATTTTACTAACTCAGTTCATCAACTAAAGTTTAGAACAAGTATATATGTGTTGTATTTCATTGATAAGAAACTTAATTACTTTACAAATTAACTATTAAGGCTCTAGGGAAAAGGATAAATATAATTCTTCTTATGGGATATTGTTTTGTAGAGTATATATGGAGTAATAATAAAATAAAATAATTAGTTAATTTCACTTCATCACATTTGATGACGCTGTTTTAATCAAGATGATTAAGTATATATAAACAGATTAAAAGTTAAATTATAAAAAAACCGTGTGCATCAGTGTACTTTTACATCATAAAGACTCATCATGCTAAAAGTATACAAAAGAATTGTATGTAGACTTTTCAGGAACAAGGATAAAACCCTGATACCTAAATTATTATAAGTTAGCATCACCCCTATACAACCAGCTGGATTAATCATAGTTTGATACTTATCGAGTGTTCCCAGAAAAATTGGCAAATGGAAAACTGCGCAACGGAAATCTGAACAAATAGAAAACACGTAAATACAAACTAATTATACTAATACTCTTTAATTTTGTCATATTTCGTGGTAATACGTTTTATTATGCTACAGTGTACATTTAGTCACTTTTTATTCATGTCTAGAAATGCTTGTTTTAAGAAAACAAAAAAAAAAATATTTGCGAAAACTTTGCGCGCTTTTTTTGTGCGCAGTTTTCTGTTGCATGGTTTTCCGATGTGCATCTTTCCGGTCACCTTATCATTATCAACAGACGTTAGGCCTCCGTCTAGTTGATTTACAATCGATAATTATTGTCCTGTATGATACAATTTTACATCAGCAACGTACATTTCTGGTAATATTTAAAAGCCCATGGTGTTGCTCGACAGTTCACTCTACCGGCTGTACTACTAGACTTCGGGGGGGGGGGGGGGCATTTTACATATAGGCAGTGAAGAAAACGGAAGGTAGTTTTCTTCCACGAAGCTAATAAATAATGGGTTGTGTCACATCAGGCAGGCCACACCCACTCACACGTCATATAATCAATCATTATGTGACTTCTATAAACAAACAATACAATACAATACGTTACTTTGTAATATCATAATGTAGGAGTCTGACAATAACTAAACTAGCTGTGGTATCAAATAAATGTTTTAATGTATTGCATGCTGTTCAGCTCACCTAGAAGAAATGGGCTAGATAAAATAAGATTGTAGGAAGTACGCATTGGTAAATGTAACTTTAAACTATAAACCGTAAAATTATCAATACATTTTAAGTGATCCAAAATTCAACAAGTTCAACATATTTAAAAAATCAATAATAATAATCAATAATAAATATCAAATCAATATCCTTGGCAGAATGAAATAATAACACATTTCAGAAGTGGTAACTCTTCAGTTTGCAAGACACAATTCTGTGATTATTTCCCCTTTCCATTAGAAAAATGTCCCGTAACTCCGAGAAACAAAACGTTTAGAGTTGTTCCACCTGTGAAGTTTTTTTTTTTCAGGCTAGTATTCAAAGCCAATACAGCTATGATTCAACATTACGTTTGTTGATATGAGCTAGTAAACACCGATGACTAAACACCCTTGTTATACAACGACACCACTAGGTGCTAGTCTATGAATGTCATCCTCAGATGTCATATCTCTAGTTGGCATTTCAGCCAGTGCTCACAGTCTGTCTGCACACATCTCGCCCTACACACCAGTTTCCAGAATCGCGTGTTTGCTCAGACGCTCGGCGTCCAGCCTTTCCCACCGAGACCTGTTTTCCAAGAGTCCATCGAGCATGGGCTGAAAGGCGTTGTCCAACTTCACTAGAGCCTGCGGAAATTATGAGGCAACAGGTAAATCATTAGAAAAACGAGTTGAATGTAATTATGTAACACGTATAATGGACAACGTGGTCGAATGGTAGAGCTATTAGCTGCTAGACAGATGGTCTCGAGTTTGAAATTAGCTTCGGCTCGGGGGTCATCCATAAATGACGTCAAGCTTTTTTTTTTCAAGATTTTTATCGTTCCCCTCCCCTCCATAACATATTGTCAAAAAAGGACAGACCCCCCTCCCCCTAAATCGACGTTACACCTCATCCTACAACCCCCCCCCGTCGAAATTGCAGTTTAATTTTTCTTAAAACATCAATATTTTTCGGAATTTTGTCTGAACTCTGTCAACATAGGGAATTTTAATCAATTTCTATTACAATTTATTAAAACAGCTTTTTTAAACGCGAAATAACGGTTAAAATACGTTTTCTAACATTGTTTTTATAATGCAAAAATTGTGACGTCACACCATCTGACCCCCCCCCCATCCCCCTCGTCACACAATGTCACAAAATTACGGAACCCACTCCCTCTTCGAGTGTGACGTCATTTATGGATGACCCACTTGTGAGTTAGTCCCCCAAAGTTAGTGCTAGTGGTTTTGTTTTGGAACTTAAAAAAACTTATCGGTGATAATAGCAAACGCGTAGAATCTATAATTTTTGTACACATTATAAATTATAAATATATTTTATTTAAAATCACAAAAAAACGTTTTAATAACAAGCACACAAAAGTAGATAATAAATTAGACACTACCATTTAAATAACTTTAAAGAAAAGCGTGGGTCACTTAAGTACCTATTGGATACCTTTACTAATATTTGAGAAGAGACCCACGCTTTTATTTATAGTTATTTAAATAGTAGTGTATAATTAATTTTTTTACTTTTTAGTGCATTATTACATAAAAGCTTGTTATTAAAACCTTTTTTTAAAGAATTTTTTCCCCAGTACTTTACATGTTTTATTTACAATAGAGTTACATGACTAAAAACCATTGTCAAGTTTATAGCTAAAATCTCAGTAAAGTATTATGGGATGGCGTAGTCTAGTGGTAAAGAACTAGACTGCTGACCCGACTAAAAACCATTGCGCGCCTGTTGAACGTGATGACGCGCTTTTGTCGTAGAGACCCCCTCCTCGCTCCACGCCCAAGACGCGTGATGACGCGTGAAGATAGAACTGCCTACTAATACGGTCCAAATTTAAATTAATTCATAAAAAATTAAATTAGGCGACCAATTAAGTTCAATTGAATGTCACGATACATTGTCTTCATGTCTTGACCCACGTACCAACTACGAATCGTATCTGTCAGTTAGAAGTGCCGGTAATTTCACACGGGCGTTTCGATCTAGACAGACAGACAGACTGACGACAGACAGAGGAAGTGAGGTAAATGAAAGCTTGTAAAAAAGGGATACCCTTTAAAAACGATTCAATTGTTTTAACAGTTTATACTTAAATTTTTAAAAACATGTATCTAATGTTAAATTAAAAATCTATATAAAATAACAAAAGATTTACTTTATAAAGCGGCAGGCAGATTCCATCAATCCAGGCCAGCTGTAAGTTCGCCACTTCGTCCCTTTTGTCTCTGTCCATACAAGCCTGAGTAAGCGGAAACAAATTTTGTATATTTTTATTTGCTATGGCAATAATTTTATACGTGTTGGCATACTATTGGGTTTTTTCGTCTCAGACATGTAATTTACAGCGTCAGTGTTTTCATACTGTAATGGTTTCTGTTTCCTATTTGTTTAATGCCATTGTTCATTCGCAGGGAGTAGCACGACCCTTCCCGGCGGCCGGGGACAAGCTTTCGATTTGCACCCCCTCCCTCGAAATTTTCATTTGCACCCCCCTCTCAAACTTTCGATTTGCACCCCCCTCGAACTTTTCTTTTGCACCCCCCCCCCCCCCCTCGAACTTTTCAATTTGCACCTTCTCAAACTTTCAATTTCGCGACCTTTCATATGTCCTCCCCCCCCCCCCCCCCGCTCCCCCCCTCGCTACGCCTCTGTTCATTTGTTAAAGACCCAATCGCTAGTTAGCGAGTAACAAATTGCAGTATATAAAGTAAGGCACGAATACGTTAAAAGAAATGTATAGTATAAAAATACACTAAGAAATAATTATGTTTGCTTGTAACTTTAATATTTTTAAAAATTGTAAGAATGGTTTTACTTTGAATATAATGTGCTGGTTACTTCCCATTTCAACGAATTAAGGTAATCAGGGGATAAAACTCACAAATAAGTTTACAAAAACCTTTACCGATACACACTAATGTAACAACAGTACGATTAAAAAAAATATTTATCATTTCCTATTACAACAAATACTAATATATCAAAATGTTTAGAGAATGTGGCTAAATATTAAATACATAATTATTCTTTTAACTCTAGTTCAAATTAAAAACATTTTCGATATTGTATTTAAAAAACATGTAGACCTAATAAAGCGTATGTACTAAATAATATCTAGGTACTTCACTTGTATTTATCTAATCTAAAAGTATCAAATAAATAATTATTAGAACATCCTATATGACAACTTAACTGTCCTTCATTGTTACTATTATATGCATATAAAATAAATAAATAAAAAAAAAATAAATAAATAAAAAAAAAATAATAATTATTACTGATTTAAATGTTTAAAACAATTAAATTAATAAAAAAATAAAAAAAAAAAGGAAAAAAAAAATTAACTGAGGACTGTATAGATATAGATGTTTGAAAGGGAAGAGTGTTTGCTTTTACGTGTCTCATTGTAATAACATAGCTTTTCCGATTGCTTAAAATTTGTATCATTTTAATTCTCTGTAATCCCAAATTCATTTCAGCTCTACTTTAAAAAAAAACAAATTCCCCCTCTATTCCCCCCCCCCCCCCCCTCGTCCCCTCAGCCCACCTCGTCGAGAAAAAAATCCCTTGAATCATCATTTAATTACACATTTGCATTTTCAGTTTCAGGTTGGTTTTTAATTTTTATTTTTTTCTTTATATTTAGACGTTTTGTATTAGATCTATGTATAAGTAAACCATCTTAAATGAATGAAAGCAGGCTACAAGTAAGAAAGAAATATTACTATTGTAAATCTGTATCAGTCCTCACAAGCCGATGATGAAAACTGTAATACTAAAGCGAACACACAACTGACGCTATAAATTACGTGTCTGAGGCACACAAAAAAAAGAAGAGAGAAAAAAAAGTATGTACTACATATGAAAAGGTCGCTGGAAACCAAAATAATAACGAGAAGCAAGACCCTTAATATTATAATATCGACAGAGTTATAACACTAAACAAACTCCCTAAGTAAAGATACAGTTCAGATCTAGAGCAAAAAACAAGGACGGTAACTATCTATAGACAATTTGGAACAGAAGAGTTAGAGCAAATCACAAGGTACAGTTCACTGGACAGACGCTAGACTTGATTTATAACAGACGACTCGACAACGTCAGCATTAAAACACATACACCATAAATAGCAACACCACAACGTAGAGAACATATGACACAGCTTTGCCCGCCTGGCCCACCCCATCCTAACCTAATCATCACACTTTCCCCGCCCCTAAACCCCACGCCCCCAAAACGCCATATCCTATTGTCCCGCATCTCCTTCGCCCCCTTAACTCTACACAACCCCACCCTCCCCACACACACACCCACCCGCTTCGGGTCCAATGTTGTTGTTTTTTTAAAGCAGTTATAAAAAAAAAATTTTGTGCGATTATTTAAATGTCTTAGGTATTTTCTTTAGTTTTACATATTACTAAGTTTATATTTCTTTTTAAACAACTTGTACATGATCCCATTTTAATTCGGTCGCACATTGATTTTGATTCGAATACAATAGTACTCGGCTTCAAAAAACAAGAAACGGGAAAAATAAAAATAAAAATTTAGTTTCAGTGTTGAAAAAAATAATAATTTCAAAGCACTTAACTTAATTATGATTATCGATTAATACATGTGTGAGTAGATCTAATTGATCTTAATAATCTAAAATGTCAAATTCTAACGAATTCCCAAAAAAAACAGTATTGTGCTTGGTATATATTTTTAACCTACTCTAATATATCACACACTTAATTGCATAAGCATATGTCAAGTCCATAAGTACAGTACCGACAATTGTAATTAAAGGAATATATTTCGTTCCTCCACTCCTACCTAGTATTACTGTCAATGCTAATTACATAGTGTCAACAAAACAAAAGTCTAATGACCTGGGGCTGGATATTTAATTCATTCTTTTCCTTATCGCCTTGATCAAAGAACTCTGTGATGACTAGATCTGAGACCTGTATAGAACACAATATTGAAATTGTTAACAAATTTATAGAACACAACATTGGAATTGTTAACAAATTTATAGAACACAACATTGGAATTGTTAACAAATTTATAGAACACAACATTGGAATTGTTAACAAATTTATAGAACACAACATTGGAATTGTTAACAAATTTATAGAACACAACATTGGAATCGTTAACAAATTTATAGAACACAACATTGGATTTGTTAACAAATTTATAGAACACAACGTTGAAATTGTTAACAAATTTATAGAACACAACATTGGAATTGTTAACAAATTTACAAAGCACAACAGCGGAATTGTTAACAAATCAGAGACCTGTATAAAACATAAAATTGGCATTGTTAACAAATATTTCATTTGCAAGTGCTAATTTTGAATACCAGAATTTGAATTAAAAAGCAGCCTTTGAATGGCTTTAATTGCTACTACTAAAGGTAAAACAAAAATGTGTGTAAACCTTTCTTTGCACTTCCCAGGGTTTAGTAATAGCAGCAATATCACAGGCAGTCATTAAAATACTTCTGAAAGTCTCCTTAGATTCGCGGTCATCGAAGGATCTTTGTCCTGAATCAACCATGGCAAAAAATTTCCCTCTAAGTCTGGAGAGAAAAGATTTAAGAGTTCTTTAGAATCACAACAGTGTAAATAATTGTTAACTATACAAGCGTGTGCACATAAGGTATACATTTCCTAAACAAAATATTGTTAATACTCTGCATATTTGTGAATATTTAGAGGATTGCTAAGCACCACATGGTGGTACATTTATTCTTTACAATTAGGATATATTGAGCAGTCACTCTAATGTTGTTGTTTTTTAAAGTCTATATGACCACTTATAACAGTAAGCAGGTTAAAGTATTATTTATTATTATCGTTAACTTTAAAATTTTACTATAAACATAAAAAACTCTGCTGCATCTAATCCCAATCATCTTGACTATAGTGAATCGTTAACTTTAAAAAAAATTCTAATATAAACTCAGGAACTCGACTGTATCTGACCACAATCTTCTTGACTATAGCGAATCTTTAACTTTAAAAAAAAATTCTACTATAAACTGATGAACTCTACTGCATCCTACCACAATCTTCTTGGCAATAGCGAATCGTTACCTTTTAAATTTTGCTATGAACATAGAAACCTCACTGCATGTAACCACAAGCTTCTTGAGGGGAGATACACCTTCACTAAATAAAAAAAACTTACTGTATATGTAAAGAAAGATCTGTGGCAAGGATGGCGTGTTTTAATAATTTGGTCACCTCACTGAAATCCTCAGAGCCCAAGTTCCCAAATAGATTTGTTCCCTGAGAACAATTGTCAGCAGTTGAGTAACAGAAACATAGTTTTATATGACGAAATGTATTACAGTGTGTTCTTAAGAAGAGGCGTCGCGAGGCGGGATTCGGGGGTGCGGACGGTACCATGTGACCCCATTTGGGGTGGGGGTGACACCATGAGGGTACCGCATCGGGTAACACCCTGCCTAGCGACACCACTGTTTTTAAATATCTCATGTTGATAACTGTGTATCATTACTAATATCAAAATTAAATTGTTATTAAAGAGTGCCTTCTCATCCACTGTTTAGTTACATCATTATTTCTATTATACTAATAAATCAATCTCGTTTAGATGCTAGCCCAGTGGTTCTCAACCTGGGTTCATCGAACCCCAGAGGTTCAACAGAAGACACACACTTAACCGACTCATATGATTCGCAATCGGATTTCGTTAGTTCGGACGATAAAAGGGTTTAGTGAATGGTGAATAGTGAATGCGCATTTAAAACTGGTGGGGTTTGGTACCTCCACAACGGTTAAGAACCACTGTGCTAAGTGAACTAGTGACTTGGGGAAGTATGAGTCCACCCAACTCACGTTAGAGAACTCACATTAGATAAACAAAGGCGTCTACAAATAATGCTGACCACACTATCTCTTCATATGCCGAGGTCTCAGAAACAGTCAAACTCAACTTCATCTGCCCCATCTGTCTTAGTCACGAACGGAAAAAAGATGATGATGACTAAGTTATTCTAAGATAAATATCTATATCATTGTTCTTAATTCGTCCATCTTACCCCACTATTTAGTATCATGACAGCGTGATTAAAGTGATGATGTTCAAGTGTAGCGTTAGTCCCATAAAGCTGAGAAAGAGCTGAACTTGATCTAAAGAAACCAAAGTTACAAAGAGAGAAATCAATGCTAGTAAGTTTATAAAATTTATGATTGAATGTGTTCTACAGAAGTGACAAGTAAAGGTTGTTTTTATGTAAGATCCATTTTAGGACAAAATAAAATTTGATACACCTTACTGATTATTTTCACGATTTCAGAAATAATCATGAGTAAAAAAAAATATAAATAGTGACTTGAAACTCAAAACCGCTACGTAGCAAGGGTTAAAAAATATTAGTCCGATATTGTTAGCAAAAATTATACATCATAACGTATTTAGCTTATCTATTCAATTATTTTTAAATGCGATTATTCTCATTTCTAATACCAATAATAATTTTAAAGTAAGGGAACAAGAACTGAAAGGTTCTAAATAGTAAGAGGGAATATCACCATGTAGAACATGTTTAACTCCCCATTTGCTTTAGTATGTGAGGAAGGAAGAGTGGGTTTAAAAAATAGAAGCAAAGACCTGTCAACAAGGAACCTTTTATTTGTAGTTGGAAATTATATTTATTGATTACTCTATTCATTAAAAAAATATTTGAGTACCTAACATTTTCTTCTTTTGAAGAAAATGAATATTTACTTATTTATAAATACTATATATAGGCTATATATATATATATATATATATATATATATATATATATATATATATATATATATATATATATATATATATATATATATATATATATATACATAAATATATATATATATATACAATTCTACAGTAAAATTAAGAGTTTGGGTTTATTAAGATTGTTTACTTTTGTTGAAAGGCGTTGTTGGTTCCCCTATGGTCCAGGTCGTGACAGAGACAAGCGACCAGTAGAGCCAGAGTTTCATTATCTGACAGATAATTGTGACATGGACATTGCTGAAAAAGATACGATTTTCTTTGAAAATGTCTAATTTTATGAAATAAAATTGTATCATCTCATTTTGCTCTTCTAGAACACTTGTGAAACAAGTTTCTTTAATTTTACTAAATAGTTAAAAGTTTTTGTAAATAATTAGATCAGGATTTCCCAACCCCGTGCCCACGAGCGCCATGGCGCCCGCCGAACGATTCGTATGTGCCCGCCTCTCACTATTCGACAGAGACAGAATTTTTTTATAAACATTATTGAATGGGTGAAGGGGATGGAATTCGAAAGTTTGAGGGGAGGGGGGTGCAAATCGAAAATTTGAGGGGGGGGGGGGGGGGGTGTGCAAATCGAAAGTTAGAGGGGGGGGTGCAAATCGAAAGTTTTGTCCCCGGGTGACGGGAAGGGTCGCTACGCCTCTGAAAGGAGTTTGTCGATTTAAAATAGGTGGTGCCCGCCACCCTACCGAAAATTTAGATTGTGCTCTAGAGTCAAAAAAGGTTGGGAACCCCTGAATTAGATTTTAACCTGTGCTAAAGGGAATTAAAAATTGAATAACTCCACTTTGATTAAATATTGAATTACTTCCCTTTGATTACAACCAACCCCTTGTTTCTTCAGTAAGCTCAGAGTAATTGACCTTTATAAGCTGTTTGGGTTTATTTTTAGATACGGTACCACCAGACTGACCTGCATAATGGCAAACATGACTTGACATACATTGAAAGCGTGTCTCCAGTTATGGTAGGCGACATTTCTGTAGTTCTTCCTGACGGTTAGCAACCAGCGACATATCGTCTGTTCAAACAAAAACAAAATTACCAGTTTGTCTTTGGTATAGGATGCACAATACATAAAGCCAATAAGCTAATAAACAAGATATTCTTTTCTCATAAGAAACGATGTTGCGTGTTAGCTTTCTCTGATCTAAAATACTATGTCCATTAATGTTTTTGAATGTTGAAGTCTAGAGGATTATGTAATGCACAAGAAAAATCAATGTCTGTAATGTAGGCCTGCTTATATGACTAGGTAATTTTAATGTGATTCTCGTAATTTATTTATTTTTTAAATCGCAATATTTTTGTAGTAAAAATAGTGTCGCGTGTTGTGTTGGAGATTAATTTCCTTGAATTATTAAAATACCAGAAGAAGCTATTTCAGGGGCGTAGCGAAGGTGGGGGGGGCATACATATGTCCCAGGGTGCCGACTCTAGGGGCGCCAAAATGGGTTGGAAAAAAAATTGAAAGCTCGTTTTAGCTGCAGTTTTGAATTACAATCATAAAAAAATGGGGGGGGGGGGCGCAAAATTGAAAGTTCGTCCCCGGGCGCCGGGGGAGGGGTCTCTACGCCTCTGAGCAATTTCATGTTAAAATAAAGTAAACGTTACAGTTATAGACTAGAGGCGGTGGGTAAAACAATCTCTTTTTATGATACAGTAATGTAGGCACAAGACGTGACCCTAAACATACCTCGTAGTCAATGCGGAATTTCTTCATGAGACCCAGGTCATTGAACATTCGAATAGAAGCGACCATCATCTGGTCATTGTCTAGCGAGAAGTCGTTGAAGGTGAACTCTGTGAGTCTCAGCTCGTGTGCTTCAGGTACGTGCTTTTCCTGACCAAAGAAATGAGCAAAAATGCATGAGCAAACTAAAGGGAGATAAATACTGTTTCAATTTTTTAAAGACGTGGTATTAATGTCCCTTATTAACATATCAATTTCAAGATGAAGTATTAAAAAATGTTAGTGTGCGTAAAAATTAACTCGTTACCTTAAATTTTGTAACTTCTTCGTGGGGGACTGACGCATGGTAAGACAAAACCTGGGGGGGGATATTAAATAACCATTGATACAAAACCAAACTGTAACTAAGATAACCATCCATGGTAGGCCAATCAGTAATTAAAGTAAGCATCAATACTAAGCCAATCAGTAATTAAGATAAGCATCAATACTAAGCCAATCAGTAATTAAAGTAAGCATCAATACTAAGCTAATCAGTAATTAAACTATTTAAACGTAAAAAATAAAAATAAAACCATTATTATTGTATATTTTTAGCGCAATTTCCATACGGACAATTGCGATTATTAACTCGTCATTTCTGGATGGATGTATGGATGGATGTGTGTCCGCAGCTCTAAGTGGTATCTCCTCCTCAACGAAGCAATATCGAGGACTAGTTCCTAAAGCAAATATGTTAAGCAAGTTCCAAGGATGATTGTGGGCCAAAAAAATTCCCGGAATTCCTTCCTGGATTTCCCGGAAAAGCCAAAAAACCTCGAACAAATGCAGTTTTTGCTCCATATCTCGGCAACCAGACCACTTAGCGACTTGAAACATTTACCAATCGATTCCTGCCATAATTTAGAACAATATTGCCGAAGAAAGTTTTCGAAAATTTCCTTTCGTTCGGTCACAAAAAAATATTTACTACTTTTTTAAACTGAGCATCTTGTAGGCCTAGGAAGAACATTTAAACTGAGCATCGTGTAGGTTTTAGCGCGAAAAAATATCCTTTCGTTCGGTCACAAAAAAATAAAAAATTGTTATGGATAACATAAGGAAATTGCGCTTAAATTGTCACTAGACTTTTTATTAACTTGTTTGTATATTACTGTTACAATTTTCTAGTCTGCTGTTATTCCTTAAATTAACTCAAATAAACCTTATTTCAATAGCATTCTTAATCTTGTACTGATTACTATTCTACGATGATACGTTGGGCTATTTTTTCGGTTGATATGACTGTAGGGCTCAAATTATTTTCTTTTCATGCAGTTTGTAAAGCGATTTTGAAGTTGAATAATTTAAATTATCAACCACGTAATCGTTAAAGCTTAAGTTAAAGCCTGGGTTTTGGACAGAGGATGTAGTGACTAGAAAGTAGCTGTAGTTAATCCTAAAAGCACAATACATCCTTTTATTTTAGCCAGAAGAGACACAATATCTGTTAAAAAGTTAAAGGTGTAAATAAACACTTGAAATACACCTATCCTTGTGAATCCATCAGGATTTATCGTTTTGTTCACACAAGACACTGTCACCATGTTATGCTTTGTTTAAAAACATTTTAATTCACAGAACGAAATTTCTATTGGCTTTAATTCAATTCGTTTATTATTAATTATACACGCCTAAATCTCATGCTAGCCCAGGCGTCGGCAACCTGCGGCTCGCGAGCCGCATGCGGCTCTTTTGATGTCCGGATGCGGCTATCCAGTTCCATAATAATTATATAAAATTATTTTCATAATTCATTCAATTGTATACTGTAAAAACTTTAAAGAAGATAATAACACTAAGAATAGGTGGAGTAGAGCGTATACAGACAGTTGACAGCTGCTTGGGCACAAGGCCCAGATCAACAACTGCGATGTAGCAGTGGTTCCATGCTTTCCACTACCGAAGTACACATTTTTTCCAAAAATATTTTCAATAGTAAAGGTTATTTTATTCAGAATGCATTTTTGTATGTGTCAGTGTGTCTTAATTTTTACTTGAGTGAGATAGTTTTTTAGTTATTAGCTTATAAATTGGGTAGGGATACTGCTATAGTTATATAATTTGATACATGTGTATGTTTTTATATGAAAAAATATACATACAACTATTGATTTTAAATTTATTAACCTATTCCTAATAAAATACATTAATATTGAAACCAAAATTATTAGTGGCTCTAGGAAAACTGGGAGAATTTGTAAATGTTAACTTTTGGCTCTGTCGCATCAAAATGTTCCCGGACCCTGTTCTATTTTTTTTTTCTCTTTTTATTTATTTTTTTTTTCATTTTGTAAATTACAGACGAATATTCCCAAACAATTACAATCTATAAGGCTTAATTGCTTATATAGTTGTCAGTGAATTTTTTTTAATCAAAATAAAATATTATTAAATATTTACTGGTTTATAGACACAATTACAGCCTTTTTATTATTTATTTTCGTATAAATCATGAGTCAATAATGCTATAAATTAATCTTTTGACTGTCCACGGAAATGAAATATTTCTATGATACTTAAATTATTACCTCCCTTTCCACTCACTTGATTTCAAATAACTACTACTACGTCAGTTCCAATATGACACTTTCAATGAAAGTAAAACATTAACGTAGCTTATAAACAAAACGTGTCACAAATTATTAATTAATGAAAAATATAACCCCAACCGTAAGAATATCTCCCTAAATACGAATCAGGTGAAGTTACTTCCCTGTACTAACCTCAAGCGCTACAGCCTGTCTAGCGGCCGACAAAGAAACTTGTTCGTAGAGCTGGCAGTTGTTAATGCCCAGTCCACAGAAGATTGCAAAAGCCTGTAAAATACAAACATGCGCTCTCAAATCTTATGTAATAAATCACTGTTGATTTATAAAGTGCTAATGAAACTGTATTTCAAAAAATGATTGTTGGTGGTTCGAATATCAGCTGGGTTAGATTTAAAACAGCGCTAAGAATGTCTGCTTGTGGTATCAGAATGCTAACATTTGTTATAACCAGACCGAAAAGAAGGTGGACTCCCTCCTGTACACAATATGCGGTGTTAACTATCGTTAACATCCATTTTAAAAAAAGAACTATTTAACAGGACCTGCTTGAAAACAGTGCATTATTTTGTATCGTTATTCAATATTTCACGTACATAGTGTATATAATGCAGAATGTAATGTTTTTTTTTAATTTTGTGCATTAGCAGTATAGTTAAAAATCAAAAGCAATATTAATAACTGATAATCATGTACACTAACCAGCTAGATATATATTTAGTGGCTAATTATCATCAACATACGCTAAGACAATTTTTATTAACCTTAGAACGAAATAGATTAAACTTAAAAGATTTTAAATAAAACATTTTAAATACAAAGAACATCCTTTGTAAATGTCAAGCGCTCTTAGAATTGTCAATCAAAAGAAATTGTTTTAATATCTTAGACAATCTGGAAGTAAAATAAAAGAAAAACATCAAATGTATTGTGGGGTAGAAAAGATAATTTAATTAAAAACTTAATTAATTGATCTATTAATATGACGGTGAGCTGATTGAGTCCTGGGTCCCATTGCTCTTACATCGATGAGATACACGTCTCCGCATATTCATCTACTTCAATGAGAGTATAATTAATTAAATCTTTGCCTTTATAAATATGATTTTTTTTAATATTCTAATCGAAAGCTTATTTCAAAACAAATGACTTAATCAGCTGATTGTAATTTAAGTCTTAATTAAGCCATTGCTGGCTTTCTTCTATAACTCCCGATTGTTTGGGTTTAGTTCAAATTCAGGACAAGTGCTACTTTCTACGGCCACATGTGGGTACCTTAGTTCTACTCCTTACAGTCACATGTGCGTACTTTAGTTCTACTCCTTACAGTCACATGTGCGTACTTTAGTTCTACTCCTTACAGTCACATGTGCGTACTTTAGTTCTACTCCTTACAGTCACATGTGCGTACTTTAGTTCTACTCCTTACAGTCACATGTGGGTACCTTAGTTCTACTTTCCACAGCCACATGTGGGTACCTTAGTTCTATTCCCCAAAGCCACATGTGGGTACCTTAGCTCTATTCCTATAGACCAAATGTGGGTTACCTCAGTTCTACTCCCCACGGCCAAATGTAGGTTCCTTTGTTCTACTACTCACAGATACATATAGGTACCTTAGTTCTACTCCCCACTGCCACATGTGGGTACCTTAGTTCTAGTTCCTACAGCCACATGTGGGTACCTTAGTTCTAGTTCCTACAGCCACATGTGGGTACCTTAGTTCTAGTTCCTACAGCCACATGTGGGTACCTTAATTCTAGTCTCTACAGTCATATGTGGGTACCTTAGTTCTAGTTCCTACAGCCACATGTGGGTACCTTAGTTCTAGTCTCTACAGTCATATGTGGGTACCTTAGTTCTACTCCTCACAGCCACATATGGGTACCTTAGCTATACACCCCACAGCCACATATGGGTACCTTAGCTCTATTCCCCAAAGCCACATATGGGTACCTTAGTTCTACTCCCTACAGCTACATATGGGTACCTTAGTTCTACTCCCTACAGCTACATATGGGTACCTTAGCTATACACCCCACAGCCACATATGGGTACCTTAGCTCTATTCCCCAAAGCCACATATGGGTACCTTAGTTCTACTCCCTACAGCTACATATGGGTACCTTAGTTCTAGTTCCTACAGCCACATGTGGGTACCTTAGTTCTAGTCTCTACAGCCACATGTGGGTACCTTAGTTCTAGTTCCTATAGTCAAATGTGAGTACCTTAGTTCTGCTTCCCACTGTAGCATGTGGGTACGTTAGTTGTACTCCTCACCCCCTCCCTATACAAAAATATAACACACACCTAACTATCTACAAAGTTGAGTGCTAGAAAAAAGACATAAACGCTACAGAAACTCTTTAACTCAGTAAGCAAAAAAGAAAAAAATTCATAAAAAACGTTTTAATAACAAGCTTTTATGTAATGATGCACTAAAAAGTAGAAAATAAATTATAGACTACTATTTAAATAACTATAAAGAAAAGCGTGGGTCACTTTAGTATCTATTGGATACCTTTACTAATGTTAAGGAAGACACCCACGCTTTTCTTTATAGTTATTTAAATAGTAGTCTATAATTTATTTTCTACTTTTTAGTGCATCATTACATAAAAGCTTGTTATTAAAACGTTTTTTATGAATTTTTTTTTCAGTACTTTACATGTTTTATTTACAATAGAGTTACATGACTAAAAACCATTGCGCGCCTACTGAACATCACGTTCAGTAGGCGCGCAATGGTTTTTGAACGCAGCCATTACGTGATGGCGCAGCTATTGAAGGTGATGACGCGTGTGGTGTGGTTGGCTAGACATGCCTACTAATTCGGTCCAAATTTTTATTAATTCATAAAAAATTAATTAGGCATCCAATTAAGTCAAATTTAGTTTCAGATTGCATTGTCTTCATGTCTTGACCCACGTGCCAACTGTGAATCGTATCGGTCAAGTAGAACTGTCCGAATTTTCACTCCTGCGTTTCCGTCTAGACAGACAGACCGACGAGGAAGTGAGTTAAATAAAAGCTTGTAAAAATAAGCCATTTTTGCGCAATTCATATTGTAAAAACAACACCAATATTGAACAAGATTAACTCTAACTTTTATGACGTTTGGATTTCCCTAACTTGAATAGACATTACGGACAAGGACCCCCTAACGTTGTTATACGTGCAACTGAGGGGGAAATGTCTAAATATAATTGACAAGTTTTCCGTTGTCGTCATCCTAGGGCACTCAAGAAAATGTCAAGTTTCTCCACCTTTCGAATAATTACATTTAGGTGCCGCTAAAAATATAATTCCAGTTATTACATTTAAATATTGTTTTAATAAGTTATGCATATGGTTTTTTTTTTTAAATATGGGCGTCAGTGACTTATGTAATGTTTGAAACTATAAAAGACAAGGATGCAAAGTTACAAAAAAAAACCTACAAGTATATTCATTAGCCAGATTATTGTCCGAAACATCACATTTCACCCTTCAGCGAATAAAGTAAATGTAAATAATAGTAAAGTTCTTCTTAAGTTATAACGATCCATTGGGTAGATGAAGTACAGTTCATAATAATATTTTTTCTTTAACTCCGTAAATAAAGGGAACGTACGGTTAGCACTATGCTGAGCCGACTTTATTTTCACGAACGTCAGTCAGGTACTCATCAGAGCTGGGAGGACTCAAGGACGTCCACAAGTCAAAACCAAGATCCGAACTCTAGACCTTTTGGCTAGCCGCTAAACATTCTATGATTCGACCACGCCGTCCCATCAGCGAGAAAGAAAGGTGCCCATATTAAGTGACACGAACACGTATGAGATTTACTTTCTCATGATATAGCATTATATAATGGGGGTAGGTTGATACATAATAAAGTTATACAACAATGCCTTAGATTCCTTAGATATATTTCATTCTATTTGCCATACAATCATATTCATCAATAATTATTTCGTAAATGAATCGATAAACCATGTTCTCATATTTTAGAATTTAACTCAATATAAAGTTTATTTTGGATTTAATAAATAACAAAGAATTTAGACAACTCTGTTAAGTATGTAGGCTATTTGAAATGGCTGAAACAATTGTAGTGTATATTGTGCTGTTGTAGAAATGGTCCTGTAAATGATTTATTATATTCTGTTAATATCAAATGTTATTTAATGTCATTATACGTGGGAAGATTGGATATAAAATGTACTTTTGGTATGTTCTATGTGCATATTCTCTAAAGTGGCAGAAACACTTGACGATATGTATCGCCAGAAAAAAAAAGATTGGTTTACTCGAACGTTACCTCAAACAGCAGATCATCGTGATCATCGAATGGAAGTCCGTCTATTCTGTTAACCACTTGAGCAACGCCTAAAGATGAAAAAATGTAATCTTAATTTTGTTTTGAAGTGGTCAGTTCTGCTTGTAAATAAAATCATACGTGTTGACAGTTTAGTAATGTTACTTCTTAGTATTTTATATATTATAACTAAATGTAATGTTTGCTAATATGAATATAATGCTAGTAAGAAGGCGTTTCCCAGTGGTAGAGCACTATACTGATAAACCAAAAGTCTCGAGTTTGAATGCTGGTTGAAATCAGCAGAACGTCCCAGAGTCTACCCAGCTCTGATGGGTTCCTGGCTCACGTTAGGGAAAGTAAAGGCGGCTGGGCATATCGCATTGTTCATATACCGATGTCACAGAAACAGGTGAACTCTATTTCACTTGCCCCGTGGGCCGTCCGCTACGAAAAGGGAACTACTTACTTTACTTATAGAAAGTTAGTGAAGATTTGTTTTTATTCTGATTCAAGTATGTTTATTGGTAGAGACTTTATTTAATACACAATTCTTTTAAAGTTAGTTTGCACATTTTTGTAGTCACCTTAAGACTGTACAAAGCAGGGAAACGAAAGATATAATGCTACTCCGGTACCTAAAGTTCGACAACCCCATATGTCCCGTTATGTCTAGTTATAAACGTGTATGTCCTGTTGGTATTCTGCCGTGTTAACATCGTGGAACATACATGCCTAGTGTTTCTTGTTACATAGCTAAAACTATATAACATCAACACTATTGATCGATGTTTTTGGCAAGGAAAAAAATATTTCGTTGCATACAACAAACAAATACAATTTTCATTCTGGAGAATTGCGATTATTAACTCGTCATTTCTGGGAATGGATGAATGGATGGATGGATGTGTGTCCGCAGCTTTAAGTCGTATCTCCTCCTCAACGAAGCAATATCGAGGACTAGTTCCAAAAGCAAATATGTTAAGCAAGTTCCAATGATGATTGTGGGCCAAAAAATTCCCGGAATTCCTTCCTGGATTTCCCGAAAAAGCCAAAAAACCTCGAACAAATGCAGTTTTTGCTTCATATCTCGGCAACCAGACCAGTGGCGTAGCGAGGTCGGGTGTCACCCGGTGCGGCACTTAATGGTGTCACCCCCCAGAGGCGTAGCGACCCTTTCTGGGGACAAACTTTCAAATTTTAAATTTGCACCCCCCCCCTCAAGTTTTCGATTTGCACCCCCCCCCCTCAAACTTACGATTTGCACCCCCCACCCCCTTCAACTTTTTCTCTATATATTTTGCTATTTTTTGCCTTGGTGTCACCTCCCTAAATGGTGTCACCCGGTGCGGTCCGCACCCCCGCCCCCCCCCCCCCCCCTCGCTACGCCCCTGAACCAGACCAATTAGCGACTTGAAACATTTACCAATCGATTCCTGCCATAATTTAGACCAATATTGCCGAAGAAAGTTTTCAAAAATAACCTTTCGTTCGGTCACAAAATTTTTTTAAATTATTTAAACTGAGCATCTTGTAGGCCTAGGATGATATTTTAAACTGAGCATCGTGTAGGCCTACTAGAAGAAGCGAAGCGGTGAAGTTCCAAACCAAGCACACCGGCTCAGGCAGTCGCTAGTGAGAGGTAACGATGATATTTTAAACTGAGCATCGTGTAGGCCTACTAGAAGAAGCGAAGCGGTGAAGTTCCAAACCAAGCACACCGGCTCAGGCAGTCGCTAGTGAGAGGTAACGTCTACTTGACGCATGTTGATTAAGGAAATTGCGCTTAAATTGCCACTAGACTTTTTATTAACTTGTTTTATCGGCTTAGGTTTAGATTCTACACATCCTCCTAAAAATATCAATTTAAAAAATAATTCTTAATAACGTAATATTCAAAAGCTATTGAATTATAAATGTGTTTAAAATGCGCTAAAATTTAGACGAAATGCGAGTTGCAGTAACACGATCAATACATTTAGACAAATATAAGTCTATGTATACGATCATATGAATTATATTTGAAGTCGGATAGAATGGCATCCGACATATAACCCGAAAGTCTCGAGTTCGAATCACAGGTTCTTGTCCGTAGAACGTCCACGCTATAATGCGTACTGACTCGCGTTATGAAAAGTAAGGCTTCTGAGTATGCCTGGTCAAGAATCATGTAAACTCTACTTCAACTATCCAATGGATCGCAAGATCTAAAATGAGCAAAATCGCTTCACTTTACTAATGTGTTATAGTGTATAAAAGTTCCAGTTTTGGGGAAAATCAAATGTGTCCTCTTAGTATTTCAATACATAGACTATTTCGCGCAACAAAAATCTATAATCAGGGTATTTGGGTAAACGAGAAACTGATGTTTAAGCTAAAATGTAACTATCAGCCAATCAACAATCGATAGCTATGACGCACATCCCGTCACAGTAAAGACAATGTCGTTAAAAAAGAAAGATGGCTGCCAACGTCAAAAGAGTGAGGTGGAGAAAGAAAAAAAAAGAAATATTCACTTAACGAAATAGCGATAAACACGCCATTTAATCAATCAATTCACCGATAGAAAAATCAATACATAGCTTTAGATGGGGGGAGAATGTTTTCGTGTTGCTTATTGGTTATGGGAAACAGATTGGGACTCAGTAACACGTGAAAGGAAGGAAAAATGTTTAGAATGTGCTTTTGTTGTTTACAATCTACATGCGCACCAAGCGTCGAATAAGTGCACCCTAACCCTTATGCTGTAGGTAAGGGCACCGGGGTACATTTCCTGCTCTGGTCACGTGTGAAATGACCGATCGTAGCCCGGGTCTTACTGTATTCGTGGCCGAGACAAAAATGTTCAGAGTTGCCGCATTGATCGTTATTGAGCCAAATAAAAAATGAAATCGACTTTTTGGATACAGTTAATAAAAATAAGACGTCAATCTTTTAGTACGATTTTTGGTTGATTAGAGGGTGTAATATAATGCTGTATAGAAGAGTTGGTGGAAATTTTATACTGGTGTCCGATAATGGAAACTTCTTTAAAAAAGGGTGTTAGGTTACTGGTATTTAACTAAATACACACATCACTGGCTAATGTCAATGCTAACACTGTCCTTAACCCCAACCCTGGTCCTACCATACGCCTACCCTAATTTCTAATCTTAAAGTTAGTCAAGATTACAATACTGCTAACAACCCAACACACCTATTTTATGGAAGACATCAGACATCTGTATATAAAATCATCCGAATAGTTTTTATGAACTTTGTTAACAATTTTCCAACAAAATGATAATTTCTTCACGAACTAGCTTCCAGCGCAGGTCACTGCAACTAGTAAAACGCGATCCCTAACCAAATAATATATTAACATAAAATAGAATTACAAGGTTCTTTTAAGTATAAAAACGTTACAGTTTGCATGTAGGAGATGTTGAGTTTAAGCTGTATACTTGACATGTTTATGCTGGATTTGTTCCTTACCTATGGTCTGAAAATGTCGGTTTCTCACAGGTTTACAGAGCACCGATCTTGTTCGAATACCTTTGACTGTTTCATCCTGGAGAGCCAAATGCAAAACATCATGAAATGGGGAATAATTAAAATAATGATAATTAAAATACACATATGTGTTATTATTCAGGTACAATAAATTAAAGTTAGTTGAGCTCTATAAGTATGCCAAAGTTAGCACACATAAAGTTAGAAAAAAATCCATTATAATTAACAAACTCCTGTCAACGCCGTTGATAATATGTCGTTAAGTCAACGACTCTTCTTCGAGGATAGAACATTACGTTGAGACAAGAACATACATGTATATGTAACATGGATTTTAATCCGGCGTTCAAACATTCGCAACAGTTGTCATAAACTTAGTTATACATTTTCTAGCTAAATCCCACATCTAGGTTTTGTTCTATAAAAATAGAATTCACGGGGTAAATCTAATGTAGGTTTTATCAGTATGTAAGCGCCCAAGGGGGAATAATAATACAAATTGGAAACAGGGAAGCGCGAGTGATTTCCCTTAGTCACCCGATTAAAAGTACCAAACTATTGAGTTCAATCTTTAAAAAATAATACCAATTTTAGTCCAACGACAAGACGTCAAATTATATTACATGTTAAAAATAGTATACTTAAATATTTTAATGATGATTAGTTCAATAATTTCTACACTATCTAAAGCGCATTAAATATTGCCATAAAAAAAACATTAAACTTAGCATGAACATTTGTGAGGACAATCAGCCAAATGTTAACAATTTATCATCAACAGCGAGAAGATTGTTCGGTTAAAAATTGCTAAGCTGGCCATTGTGGCCAAAGAATTTTTCTTTTAAATTTTTTGAATTTAAAAGCTGTAAAAATGTTATCTAAAAGCTGACATTTGTTATCTTAAAATATTCTTAAAGAAACAAAAAAAAACAATCTTAAAATAGCTGTCAGTCCTAAGTTCAGTTAATTAAATAATTAACCCAATGTCAATTTTATATTAGATTCTGAATAAGTTATACGAAATACGTTAGGCAGATATGAATAAAGGGCAGCAACCATCCTGTGCTCGAGTTACTAGTTAGTCAAGACTGTAGAAGTTACCGAACACTCAATTGTAACATGTATTTAGCATTAGTTGCGAATGGGGTGTGGGGGGGGGGGGGGTAATTGAGTTATTTATAGAAGTTATGCCTGAATCAGTAACAATTGTATGTGTTACTGCCGTCCGACAAATTAAGTAGCAAGTAGAATATCTGAATAGAAACATTTTCGTTACTATGTTTTCGTAAACTGTATTTGTTATAATATCTTTGAGGCAACATTTGTGTATGAGAGATCACTCTATTGTTTGCTAAATGCTTGCTAGACATGATTTATAAAAACTGTACACAATTGTTTGTTTGAAAAGACTAAATTAGGAACACCTTTGAACCAGCAGTTACAGTAAGTCTGGTCGCTCATGTATAGAGCCCATGTAAATTTTAGATTTCCGTTTTTAGAATACAAAAGGGTAAGTTACTATGTTACAAATAAGTAATGGAGACGGCTTAGTCGAGTGGTAGAGCATACGACTGCGAACCCGAAAGTTTCAGTTACGAATCTTGGGTAGAGTTCACTCAGCTGTAATGGGTACCTGACTTACGTTAGGAGAAATAAAGACGGTTGGGCATAGAGTTAACCAAACATTACCTATATGCCAATATCACATAAACAGGTGAACTCTACTTATACTGTTACATGGAACATCAAGTTCGGACTGTACTTTTTAGCGCAATTTCCATACGGACAATTGCGATTATTAACTCGTCATTTCTGGATGGATGTGTGTCCTTAGCTTTAAGTCGTATCTCCTCCTCAACGAAGCAATATCGAGGACTAGTTTTAAAAGCAAATATATTAAGCAAGTTCCGAGGATGATTGTGGGCCAAAAACATTCCCGGAATTCCTTCCTGGATTTCCCGGAAAAGCCAAAAACAAACTCGAACAAATACAGTTTTTGGTCCATATCTCGGCAACCAGACCACTTAGCGACTTGTTTTCTAAAATTTCCTTTCAAACCTGATGGTCTATGGGGCAAGTGAAGTTGAGTTCACCTGTTTCTGTGACCTCGGCAGTTGAACGAATAGTATTTAGTCAGCGTTATACCCAGCTTTACTTTACTGTGTGAAAGTAATAGAATGTCTCAAAACTGTTACCTTTTTTTTTTATTTACCCAAATAATTACGATGAAATTACAATTACTCCCAATTATTTAATAATATTATATAATTAGTAGATAAAATATTGCAACAGTCAAGATTATGATGGTTAAATAAAACGGAATCAAATTCTTAATCATTCTGCTCATTAAGACATTATATTGTATGAGTTCTCATGACTCTCTCTGAAACTAAGATAAAAATAAAACAATCGCTACTAGGGGCAAACAAGGTCGGTAACTCAATCCTACCTCGTGCTCAATCCTCGGATCCTGCGAAGCGTCGGTGATGTTGATTGTCTCCCCTGTCAGTAACACTAACTCTGCTATCTTGCTTGTCACCCTTAGACTATTGTCTCGATCACTGCTGCAAGCCAAGCAAATCAAATCATTAAACCTGTTCTACTCTTGAGGAGAGGGGGGAGATGGAGGGGGGGGGTGCTGGCAGACTGGAGGGGTATAAAAGTACATGTATTTGTACTTTCAACAAAATTCTATTAAGAAAGGGCTATTAACATGTTTGTAAATGTTTTGGGAAAAAAAAATAAAGAGCAGTATAAAATAAATTACATGCCCCTTGAAATTAAGATAAAGTTGGACCTACGAGAATAAAACGGTCAAGTGACTTTAGTGAGACTACTACAGAAAAAAGTGAGACTAAGACAACAGATTGAGTGAGACTTAAGTTATGATGTCTAAATGGCATATTATTGCTAGAAATAAAAAAACATAGTTTGGCTAATGCTACATAACACGGGCAGCCTACATTTATAAGATAGTCAAACATTAAACACTAAAGTATGTTAGAGCAAAATCATTATTGTTCTAAAACAACCAACTACAATATTTTGTTTGCTACATCTAAAATATTATTTGTTCAACACACTATTTAGCTTGTTAGTACTAAATCGCTATCAAATCTAATACTGTGTTAATTTGCTTGATATTATTATCATTATTATGATCATTTATTTTTTTTAAACACTCAAGCAAGTGTAGAAAGCCATACAAACATTGGAATGTTTAGCACTATGTAGAAGGACAGACTGGCGCTATATCGAGAAAACAATTTTATCTACACAACTAAGCCAGTAGGCCTACTAAATAATGCCATTTCTGGGCAACTACAAAAATTAAAATCACCATCTTTTATAGACAGAAAATTGTATGGCGTGCTCAAAAAGCCAAATTAATTACATAAGACTAAAAGACACGGAATACGACCTCGCTACATCTATTGAGACTAATATCTAAGGTGTCAGCTCTAGTCTTATACTGACTAGTCCAAACAGATTATGTACATAATGATGGGCTATTGAACACTGTATTTACTCTACAATTTACGTTAATAACTTCAGCTGATCTAAGTTAAGTGAATTACTGAATCCACTTTGAGAGTAAAATTCGCTTCTTGATTCGAATTCCCAAATATGGCTCATCGCTATAAATGGTTCATTGGATTAAACGATTCATTTAAAGAAGGAAATAAGAGCTTTCCTACGAGTTGATAAAAAAGTAAACAGTAATTTACAAACTTATTTTACTTTCTTTTCTTAACAGATAACTTACAGTGAAAAATGTTGACATGTGTTAAAACTTAAGCGACTTAGTCCAACTTGTCTCTGGACAACGTGGACAAGATTTCGGCCATCACAATATTGTTTTGCTTGTATATATATATATATATATATATATATATATATATATATATATATATATATATATATATATATATATATATATATATATCTTTTTTTAGTATATAAATGGCTTTGATCTAAAATACAGTGCCTGAGTAAAAGGAATAGTCATTGTTATTGTCAAATGGTTTGAGGATTGAGGACAAAGTTTACAATTATTAGCAAAAATATAGTCAATTAATCAAGACAAATATTAACTATCTGACCGTTAGTTTTTATTAAGAAAAAAGGTGCACTAGTTTTACAAGCTAGAAAATTATGTAGATTAAAATATATAAATTGTAAAAGTGAATAAGTTTGTGAAACATTTGAAGCAGTGCATTTCAATATAATAGTAATACAACAAAAGTACTAACAAACATACGTGATTATACAATGGTGCATAACTTTGTGTTTAGTTACTATTAATTGTGTAACGTGCATAACTTTGTGTTTAGTAACTATTGATAGTGTAACGTGCATAACTTTGTGTTTAGTAACTATTGATAGTGTAACGTGCATAACTTTGTGTTTAGTAACTATTGATAGTGTTACAATATCAAGTCAGGACAGGCAGGTCAAGCTTAATATTTGAGTTTACTCATGGAAGAAAATTATTTCAATAAAGAATTATAAAAACATTATACTTTTATTTTCCTAATAAAAATTTAAAATCCATTAAATTATTAATACAGCTTTTTAGATTATTTTTCTAATAAATAGAGTGTTGATTAGGATTGTCGTTGAAAAACTAAACGAAAATGAAATCTTGAAAATCATCTACAAAAATCGTCTTAATTATTTAAAACATTAGATCTTTGTATAAGCACTGCATTTTCATTATTAAAAAAGCAATTTTATTTTTTAAATAATGTCTAACATTATTACTGTTGTCAGAAAAGTAATTTAACAAAATCATTTTAAGCTGTTTTCGAAAATTTTAATCGCATTTTTTTTTATTAAATTAGAAAAACTAAGTGCTGGGCAGATAAAACAAATATTTGTACTAAAAAAAAACACTACAGGTCTACGTGAAATAAAATTTAAAAAAAACAAGCCTACTTTAAATAAAAAAAAACAATGAAATGTTTCATTTTCTATATACAATTCTCTGTGTTTTGTTTTAACATGTGAGGTATAATCTAAGAAAAAGGAATTGTTTTCTTTTAAACAAGAATTGCAGCAATATTGTTTTTAATGTATCCTAATCCCAATAATATAACTAAATACTTTACTTCTCTTAAATTGTAAACAATCTTTAAGTAATAATGTATACCACCATCCTGGTATGAAATTAAAGTTGTGAACCTTACTTCCGGTAAGACTACTTAATTCTACTAAATGTGGTACCTTTACTTCTTTTAATATAATATCATCCATCACAACCTGTAAGAAACTTTGTTACCCTAGCTTCCGGTAACAAAAGAATGGCACACTATCTTCCCGTATTAAAAAAATTGTTACCTTAATTTCAGGTAATAAAAGTGGTTACCTAACTTCCGGCAATAAACATTGTTACCTAAATTTTAGGTCATAAAAAGTGTTACCTTAATTTCCGGTAAGTAAAATTTATTACCTAACTTCCTGTAATAAAAGGTGTTAACTTACTTCCGTTAATAAAAGGTGTTTCCTAACTTCAAGTAATAAAAGTTGTTAACTTTCTTTCGGTAATAAAAGTTGTTAACTAACTTCTGGTAATAAAAAATGTTTTCTAACTTCCCGTAACAAAAAAGGGTTATCTTAGCTTCTGGTAATAAAAGCTGTTATCCTAACTTCCTGTAATAAACATTGTTACCTAACTTCCGGTTATAACAATTGTTACCAAACTTTCGGTAATAAAAGGCGTTAAGTTACTTCCGGTAATAAAAGGTGTTACCCTAACTTCAAATAATAATAATAATCATTGCCTGACTTCCGTTAACAAAAATTGTTACCTAATTTCAAGTAATAAAAATCGTTACTTAACTTCCGGTAACAAAAATTGTTACCTAACTACATGTAATAAAAATTGTCACCTAACTTCTGGTTATAACAATTGTTACCCCACTTCCTTTAACAAAAATCGTTACCTAACTTCCGGTAACAAAAATTATTACCTAACTTCTGGCAATAAAAATGTATACCTGTTGAGGTAGGGCAGCGTGTGCAAGCCGTTGACCGTCTCCTGCCTGGTCACCGTGCGTCGTCTGTTTAAAATTGTCACGTGACACGGGAAGCAAACAACCCAAGCAGAAAAAAATATGGAAAAAATAAAACAAGTTTAAAACGAAAAGGGGTTTTATTTATAGTAACCAATCCAGTGCGTCGCGGCTCTCACGTGAGATTTTTTTTGTGTTACCGTCTACTTAAGCCATTGACAAATCGTGTGATTTAGTATTCACCAAGAGAGCCAGTTAAATGTAAACAGTGTGTTTCACGTGACCGCCTTGCACTGGAATAGGTTTTGTTTTATTGAGGAGGTTTCCATTCACCGTTTCTTAGGGGTCGTCCATAATTGACGTCATACAACTACGTACAAAGGTGGGAGTGGTCTGATTGTTGTGCCCGCTTTATTACGCGTATGTTACGTAATTTCTTTTTTTTTTACCAATTAAAACGTTAATTGTCATTAAATTATGTTTGATGTACATGAATCGGACCTTTTTACGTTATTCAGGTGTAGGAAGAGGGGGTTGTGATTTCGAGTAGGGTTAACCATCAAATGAAATTATTTAACGTCATTTTTGGACGACTCCCTACACAACACTTCCTGATTTGATCGACGTCATTAGCTAAACACACGTCTTTATACAGTACCTTCTGTAGCAATAAATTTAGTAAGTTTTGGTAACTACATTTTTATATATTTTTTTAAATTATAAAAGCTTTTTAAGAGACTTAGTGAGTCTAATATTAGGTTCACCGTGAGACTGTATCTAAAAAAGACGTGCTAATTAGCCGAATATCCTCTCTAATCCATCCACCACCCACTTTTAACATACTGACCAGAAACCAAAGAAATGTATTTAAATGCGATAATTGAAATAATCTGAAAATGTAGAAGTCGATCATAGATCTTCACCAGTAACATTTTTCTCCTTATCTTAAGCCAATCAAAGACCTAATTTTGGAATGTAATTTCACAAAGTACTACTGATCGTAACAGGTAGGGTACTAGTTAGTTGATGTGTACTACCCTTATTCAATACTAATTTGTTATACAGCTAAGCGTATATCAACATGTCCTGATATATGACTTATTACTTTCGTGACGGAGGGGGTGAATATTTTATCAAGCCAGGAAGCGAAGTGAGGTAGAAGTGTTAGAAGACAGAACATTCTAGCTGCCTGTTCTGGAACAAGGCGTGAACCGTAGGGGAATCTCTAACTCAGAAAACAAACAAAGCTTATGATTATTACGTTTGTTGCATTGTATTGATTGAATCTATAGGGCTTTCAAGTCTACGGTATCGAAATCTATTAGCTGTCAAGTACAAGAACGAGAAGTTGTGACCTACTTACAAGCCCTATAACAAAACCAGAATACGACTGCATTTACATAACGCTATTATATCTGTTATCAGGCTATTACCAAAGCTTATTCTCATGTTCATCTATCCTAAATATAAAACTGTCCCTACCCTTGCATTTGCTATATCCCTTTTCATTATTGCTATATCACTGAAGCTATCCCGTTCGCTAATTATAA